CTGAAAAAGAAGACATAGACATTTTCACTTACCAGTTTTGTCATATCAGTTACAAAAATGAAGCCGAAGACTTGCAGCTAAGCTCTCACACATTTTGTAATTTTACTCCGCTTGTGTCTGCACTTTACTTTAATTGCCAAAGCGTTAAAGTGATGGATGGATAACGTGCCTGGTACCCACTCTAATATGTAGCAGTATATGGAATAAATCCCAGTCTATGTTTTCTGCCTTATATTCATGAATTACTTTCAGTGACAGTTCCACCTCATCATCAAGCTAGGTAAAGAAATCGTTGGGGTTACTTTTTGCCATTGCTGCTCAACCTCAAATGTGAAAACTCTTGGCTCCATCATGTTGATTGGTTGCTTGTTGTTAAAACTTGTTGTTCTACAAGGCATTCAGCCAACAACAGAAACCTTAATAGTGTGTGATGAAGTCTGACCACTGAATAGCTTTTGGATCAAGAATTATTCTAAGCGTCACTCTGCTTTTATTTATTTATGGACTATTTGGTATAAAATTCAGCACTTCAGCATGTTTACTTGGTCTTCCAGATCATGTACTGCACTATAACAGTAACATGCTTTGTTGTCTTATTTTTAACAGAATGCGTTTCAGTCATTGGATCTGATGATGCCACAACCTGCCATTTGGTTGTGCTGCGGCACACTGGTGAGAAATCCTTTACCATATTTGGGGCGATCGTGGCTCAAGAGTTGGGCGTTCGTCTTGTAATCGGAAGGTTGCCGGTTCGAGCCCCGGCTCCAACAGTCTCGGTTGTTGTGTCCTTGGGCAAGACACTTCACCCGTTGCCTACTGGTGGTGGTCAGAGGGCCCGGTGGCGCCAGTGTCTGGCAGTGTCCGGCAGCCTCGCCTCTGTCAGTGCGCCTCAGGGCAGCTGTGGCTACAATGTAGCTTGCCATCACCAATGTGTGTGAATGGGTGGATGACTGAATGTGTAAAGCGCTTTGGGGTCCTTAGGGACTAGTAAAGCGCTATACAAATACAGGCCATTTACCATTTTACCATTTGTGCTAAGGCATTATAAAAGGAAACTGTATATTGAATTTGTGGTTAACAATTACGTTTCATTATTTCTTAGGAAGTGGAGCAGTTTGCCTAGGTCATTGTGACGGTTCCAGCACTTGGTCTGAAGTACCACTCCTCGTGAAAGCGGTGACATCACTGAGTGATGCTTGTAAGGAGGGCAGGTATGACACACACATAAAAAAAGCAGTAAAATTCCAGATTATTCAACTAATTAATTAATTAATTTACATTTCTCCTCTCCTTGCCAATATGCAGACTTGAGCTCCATCTTGTCGGCGGATTCAATGACGACTCAACAACATCCCATAACCTCAGCCTTGATATACTGGGTATAACCTTACAAACTTACTTCATGTTGGACTGCAGTGTAACGCAGCAGCATAACTTAAATGGCTTTTTATCACTTCACAGCAGCATTCCAGGTACAGAAGGAGGATATTCATCTGGAAACATGCTGCATCACAGGTAACTTTGATGTTTGTTTTAACTGTTGAAGACTGTTTAGATACACCTGTCAAAACAAAACCTTTGCTCTAATCGTGCCTTCGATTCGCTGTTGTAGAAATGAACGATGTGGTTGTTAATGGAACTCACAGACCTGTAGTATATGGAATTGGTAAGTGATACCGTTACAGAACAGGATCCAGTGCTTTCGTGGTATTCAGCCTTTAATATGTTGTGACTTTGTTTCTGAACAGGTGTAGATGTTAAAACAGGGGATGTTTACCCTGCCTCCTTCCCTCATAAAGGCCCTGCAGAGGAGCTGCGATCAGCACGGACCTTCACGGGAGGAGAGGTGCTCTGCAAACATGACATGATGAGATTTTTTTTGAGAGAAAAATGCATGTTTGGCTATACACAATTTTCAGTTGTCTACCTCATATTTAATCAGTCTGTTAATTTTGAAAGAGATCCTCAGATTACATCATCACTGATTTTTTTTTTTTCTGACTTCCAGTACTTACTGAAGTGACTTAAAAATGTTTTCACAAGTCTGTGTTTTAATGAATAACGAATCTGGGATCTTGAAATTGTTGTTATTTTTATGTTTAGTTTTTGGTTTTTGCTGGCAAAAAACTGAAACATACCAATTAAAATAATCATCCCTTGCAGATGGTTAACATATATGACTCGAGTCGGGGACTTTTTCAAATCGGCCCGTGCACATGGTCTCAGAATCTGGATATTGCCTTCTGGTTGTCACAGAATGACGACACAATTTTAAAGGTAACGTTATTGGAAGTTATTGTCTTTGGTTGTTAACCAATGACAAGAAGCTTTTTTTGTGAGTATTTAAAACAGACTATGACTTTGGTATTTCGTCCTCTTATTTAGTACCTGTCCACCTCTCCGAGGGCTGAGCCACCGCACTTTGTCCAGCATATGAAGTCCACTATTCAATTCCTTTTAGACCACCCCAACTCTGAAAGCCTGTTTCCAGGGGGTCAACCACAGTTCTACCACAGGACGGAGACTGGGGACTGGGAGAGGGTTGTCCAGTCATAGAGTCCAACTCTTTTCTTGCTAAACCTTAACCCAGTAGCTGACCTTTTTTGTCTCTCAGCTCAGTGGGATGCATTGTGACCCTCTCACCTGATTTCTGTTCTGTGTTTATTGTGTCTTAAAATGGAGTTTACTTTACTTGAACATGTATCTGTTGAATTGCTTTCCTGACTCATCTGGCTGGTCCAGTGGAATGAGTAGAGGCAGTCTCTTTGTTCGTGCCTCTAATAGTTTTTCTCACTTTCAGGACTTCATACGAAGTGTGCTTTTCTGCAGCAAGTTCAGGATAAGGTCCTACTGCTTTTCTGTTTTCCCTTTTTAAAGGAAATCATTTACAGTGTTTCACCAGGTGTCCAAGTGCTGACCTTTTCCACATCATGGGTCCAGTATTAGTCAAGTGTTAGAATCAGTTTCAGATGTGACACAGCTCTGATTGATTACCTCCTCTCCCAAAGCCAGAAGACAGTAGACATATAAAAGTTAAGAAATCGATGTGCAGCAACAATTTCTATCATGTATTTTGATGAACAATTAAATTCTTCATTGTGTAATAGTTAAAGTTTATTTTTTGACTAAAAACACATCTACCATGTAAAAGATATTTTATCATAAACTATATTCTTTTGCAGACCTGGCTAAGAATATGTTTGTTTTACAAACTGCATGTGTACATGTGTATGGTATTCTGCAGTGTGGATGTTATGGATTGTTTTTTAATTAAAGAAAATGCGGTTTTACTAGTTTTGCCTGATTAAAAATTTCATGCATGGCCTTTTCATCAGTTGTGTTTTAAGGTGCTTGATAAATTCAGTGTAAATTGTTGGAACTTGTGAACATGCTGTATTTGTTGAGAAATAAATGTGAATGAGGAAATCTGTTTTGAATGCTCGCATTGTTCAGATCGAAAAATACATTTTTGGTTGATAATTTGCAACAGTTTGCTCAAATGCCATTTGTAAAAAGTGTCAATGTGTTTTATTAGATAAAATGTGTTTGTCTGTGCTCTAGATGCAAATCAGTACATTCCATTATCATTTTAAAACCTAGAAATCCCCACATGACCAGGTTCCTGCTCCTACAAATCTTCTGAGACATAAATTCCAGCAGTCAGCACCTCTATTCATCGGATCAGGGCCTTTTTCCGTGATCTAATTTTGAATCCATAGCAGAACACGTTTTGGAGGTGTTGGCATCTAAACTTTGGAAAGGCATTCTTCCTTCTGTCAGGTTACTTAAATCAATGCTTCATTTTCATTTTAAATGAGCTTTTCCTGCACCATACCCTTTGGATTACACAGTAGGTTCTTTGTAAGTATGCCTGTGTGAGTGCATGTACTTATGCTTGAATGTGTGTTTGTGTGTACTTTATGCCTAGGTGTGTACTGTGTGCTGGGTTATGTGCAGTGCTTAGGTTTTTATTTATTTATTCATTTTATTTTAATTTATTTTTCCCGGGGGGGGTAGGTATCCTAAATGGAAAGCTCCTTATTAGTGGCTTCAAATGTCACAAGAACTGATGAACTGGGGTCTGACAGTTCTTAAAGAATCTGTGTCTTCTGCTGGACTGCATTACACATGTATTGCAGGGGGGGGGCAGTAAATAAAGGTCCTCATTCCTATAAATTCAGCAATATCTACAGTTGTTTGTGTCACTTTTAGATCAACTTCTTGTAGGATTGGTTTGATTCAATTCTTCTTCTTCTTTAGCTGTTCTCCTTAGGGGTCACCACACAGAACCATCTGCCCCACCTTATCCCTAGCATTCTCTTCTGTCACACCAACCCTATTATGGATTAAACACAATGGAATTTAGTATAATTAGTCAAGTATTTTACTGACTTACCTTCTGCTTGACTTTTGCATTGTGCTACTTTTATACCTCTACTCCACTTTATTGTGGATGTAAATTTTGTACTCTGTTCTCCAAACGATTTATTTGAAAGCTTTAGTTACTTATTATTTTGCTACCTATTAATGTTAGACCGTCATAGATTTAAATTAATATAAAGTTAACGTTATATACACATTTGTAAAATCATACCATACATACATAATTCTTCGATCCTGGGAACTGAAAAACACAGTTGTAGTCTCCGTCCTTGGTAGCCTGTGTTATTATAGCCTGTGTTAATATCCCCTGAACGGACCCTGTCAGTACTGCCAGTGATTTTCTGCAGAGAAGATTTAGGTTTGAAGTCGAGTCTTTGATCTGTTGCCCTTGAGATGATGGATCTATTAGCCTTGCCATGATGTAAAGAAGACATTATTTGACAGAGAAGCCTTCGCACTTCACGGTCTGGTTGTTCATAAAAGCGTCACTTGAGGTAAGATCCTCGCGGTGAAGCGGACATATTCCTCTGGACGTTCCAGCCCCGCCCCTTCAACGCTGCTTCTGTTTTTCACGTAAAAAAAGGGGGCGTAGTAAATTTAAGCAGAAGGAAGCTACCTTTGCGCCGGCTGTCAGTCCAGTGCCGGTTACAGCTGTATGGTGTTTGCCAAGCAAGTATCTTAGCTATGATTTTGTGTTTTTATAGCGTAAATTACACGAGAAACGTAAAGACTCGGTGGTAGGTGAATACTGTGATGTGGTGAGAGTGAAGACCCGTGTGTGACAAGTATACGCGTTTAGCTAGCACATCACAGTCAGTCGTTTTGTGGTTAAAAGGACTTGAAATAGGTTTTTATTTTCACTTCACGGGGTAACGGCAGCTAAAAATAATGCTAAAGCTGTTTTTAAGACATGCCCGTCGCTTTCCGTGGGTTACCAACGTGACACTGTACGGCTGCCTGTTCGCCGGGGGGGACTTCGTCCACCAGTGGTTCTCCGGGAGGGAGACCATCGAGTGGAGACAAACACGGAACGTCGCGGTGGTCGCGTTTAGTTTCCATGGCAACTTCAATTTCTTCTGGATGCGTTTCCTGGAGAGGAGATTTCCCGGGAACTCTATCGGGATGGTGATGAGGAAGCTGTTCCTGGACCAGACGACGGCTGCGCCCCTCGCCACCAGTGTCTTCTACACAGGTCGGTGGGCTGTGGGAGGCACAGGCTGGAGGATTTCTGACGGCGGTTAATGGTTAATCTCACAGCTGATCGCCTCTCTGTCCATTTGTAATCAGACCCATGCCCTCTCTGTGCTCCTTTCATGTGGCGTAATATCACCACTCGTTCCTTGTCTCGTGACACAGACGAGCAGAGGTCAAGTGAAAGACATGAAGGAGTGGATTATTACCACTAACTGGGCGGACTACGACTGATACTGCCAGCAGAAATTGCTTCATTACAGTGGTTTACTTTAGATGGGAAGTGATAAAATTCCTCCCTATCAGAACCCGGATCACAAAGGGACCTCAATCCTAGCAAGTTTTTAATAATAAATCCACAGAGGGGAAAAAAAAATCAAAGAACACATGCTTATTTAAACATTTGACATATCTGCTGTCAAAGCTTATGATTACAGCTTTGAGAGTCGAGTCAAAGACTTAAATAACATTTAATTAAAATAATCGGATGAACAAAGACTTAGAAAGCAAGCAGAAAAGGAGAGCCAAGTCAGATTAAATGGAAAACAAATACTGAAAATAATACAAATGTGAAAAATGAAATCAGAATTGCATACTTTTTTGCTAGATTTAATTAGATTTTTATTATTCATCCAGAGCTCAAAAGAAATCCTCCAGAATGTACAAATAAGATTATAAGCGGGTTGTAATTTTCCTTGCAAAATACATTTTTGTTCATCAAATGACTAAAAATAACAGGAAACTGATTAGAATTTTCTTTAACATGCAGACCATTTGAGTTCTTGTATGTAGTCACTCCCCTAGAATGGCTCATTACAAACCAAAAAACCCCCCTGATTTTAGTATTTATGTTCCCCAGTATGTGCTGATGTCGAGACATAATGCAGGGGGAAAAGATTTTTTGGGGGGTACTGTAGAAATGGTTTTATTCAGCAGAGCAGAGCAGCTCAGTTGTTTTACAGTATTCATTACTGCTGAGCAAAAGTTGTTGTGGACTCGGGCAGTATTTTCACAATAAGTTATTGTGTAGCTTGTGCTTTCATGAGGTCCAGAAGTGTCAGTAAGGCTCCAATCCACTCAGATACAATCATAACAATATACAGCAATATTGCTGGTATAAATTTATCAGAACTTGTTATTGCAGTCTGTCACAAAACCTTTCTTTTGTAACTTCTTCTCTAAAATTGCTTCTGCTCAAAAAAAACTACAGATTTTATAACTATAACCTTAAATGTTGAAAGTGCAATAATCGCTTTTGGACATAAACTATTGAAAGTTAAATTAAAAATGAACTAGAATCAAGATAGTATAGTAAAATTAATATTTTCCCTTTTTTGTTAGGGAATAATAACCAATACATGCGAGACAGATTAAAGAATTTATTCAGAAATGGAGATGGATGGATTTTTTAAAGCCAGACCAGCACGTTTAGTTAAACACTTAAACGACCTAACATGGACCTATTTGACTCACTTCAAATGTGGAAACAGTTGAATCCTTAAAAATTGAGATACAGAAATTAATGTATTTGGGGATTAGACTCAGATGACCCATCATGCCAGAATGAAATCCCAGCGGAGATATGATTTAGGACAGCATGCCCCGGAGTCTAAACGCTGCTGGTGGTGAAAATGAATACAGAAGCTTTAATAGAGTTCTGGCTGAGGGGTTTAAACAAGATGGGGTAGAGGTGGGGTCTGTGGGAACAGAGATTTAAAACATGCAAAGCAGAGGCTGATTGGCAAAAAGAAGGTGGGTGAGAAAATGATTGGACTAGAGTAATGACGTCAGTATTGAGATTGACAGTACAGGGAAGCGGTAGCCGTGTAGAAAACAGAAAAGCAGCTGAACACTCACGGAGGCAGGCAGATAAGTGATTACAGATCCTTATTGAACTTACACATACGCTTCATAAACTCCATAATGATAGTGGAAAACAGTGTACACTGGGTTATTGTACTAATTTTTGTTTCAAATGTGGCTATATGTTTATCAAGATCTTCAAAAAACATGACATGATTATTTAATATGTTTATACTGTACAAACTGCATTGATCTTCCTGCACTGCCTATAAATCAGTCAAATCTCATGTGCCTCCAGGTGTCAGTTTCTTGGAGGGCAAAGAAGACATCTTGGAAGACTGGAGAGAAAAATTCCTGAATACTTATAAGGTGAGTCACAGACACAGGCTGTTGTTTTCTAAAGTCGTGACAGTTAACAGTATCTGTTTCAAAGCAGAAGAGTCCAATGTGTTGAGTGCTCAAATCCCAAACATCCGCAGTTTTATTGGTACAAACCGTTTATTAGGTGCTCTTCTGATTATGTTTTCTAGTTCTTATTTTGTGCTTTGTTTGTATCTCTCTTCTCAGACAGGGCTAATGTTCTGGCCATTCATGCAGGTAAATATCAGCATCATCATTATCAGCTTATGTCCATTAATATAATTGGGTGAAGCTATGTAGAGTAATTGTGCAATAAAGTTCAGGGATGAAGGGTATTGAGAGGGGATTTCTTAAAATCAGCCTGCAATTCTTCAGCTGAGACACTTGAGTTAGAAAACACAAACACTGCACTTGTCTTTACTCGCAATGACAAGTGACAGAGCGCTCCTACACGTAAGAGACACTCACGGACTTGTGCTCTGTCACCGTCTGCTTTCTTTATTTATACAACAGGAATTAATACATTCGTTCAGTGACGTGTGTGCGTGTGCGCGCGTGCGCGTGCAGCTCGCTTGGAGCAACTGTGACCACATATTTTTCTCTGGGAAACAGTATTCTGACTCTGATTCAATGATCTGCTTTGCTACATTTCAACTATTTTCATCAAGCAAAGACCAAAAACAGATACCATCAGAAATCAAAGTCCATACAGTGAGATCAGCAGAGCAAGTGGCACATGGAGGTTCAGGTTTAGACATAACAAAAAAATAAGGACAATGCCAAGGTAGGAAGTAACACATGAAGAAAAACCAAGCTTAAGAAATAACCAAAAGACAAAATGGTAAATGTGGAGAAATGAAGGCTCACACTAAACACGAAGACAGAGACGAGGGAACTTGGAGGACAAATGCATTAGCATTAAAGGATGAGGCAAAGGAGAGAACTGAGAGGGGAATCACTGACACTTAGCACAAGTAATAAACTCAAAGTAGAAACTGAAACTTAAACAGAAACCCAGCTAAATGGGCATCCAAAAAACTCCATGAAAACCAGAGAAGAAACCTAAGTCAAATACCACAATAAAGTTACAGTTCATTGTACTGCATTAGCAGAAACATGAATCAAAACACAGGATTGTAAAATGATAGTTTATTACTATGAAACTATGAAGTAAAAGCAGAAATAAAATATCCTGTAGTATCACAAAAATCAATCTCACCTTCAAAAACAGCGGTGGGCTCAGTGGGTGAGCAAGCGACGATATGCCGTATGACCAGAGAGCAGTAGGACCGGGTTTGAATCAAACCCTTAGCCCTTAGCTACATGTCTTCCCCTCTCTCTCCCCGCTTTACTGTCTATCTACAGCCTCTCTATCCAATAAAGGCTAAAAAAAAAAAAATCTAAATACGTATCTGGGGAAGTGTTTTTCTGTGTTTCTTACGTACTGCATTGGGTCATTGTCCACACCTTTTACCCTCCAGTTGCTATCCATACCACTGTGTTAAATAGCAATCAGTAGACATTTATGACATAATAGTGATGACGATATGCTGTTATCTCAATTTCTCTCAGTTTCTGAACTTTGCCTTGGTGCCTCTGTATGTGCGGACCACCTTCACTGGCTGCTGTGCCTTCATCTGGGCCACTTTCTTGTGCTTCTCACGTCAGACCGGTGATGGCACAGCTGGTGCTGCGCTGGCGTGGATGTTCCCTCATAAAGACGATGATGCCGAATACACTAAAGAGAAAGACAAGGTGGATGCCCCCAGCAAAGGGGCATGACTATGTAAACCCACACAGTAGCAGAGTCAGTCGTTTTTATGGAAGGTGACAAAACGTCAGCTGGACTAGTGGACTGCGGTCTAACTCAGCTGATGTTACACTAACACTGCCAAGGTCACAGGTCAAAGACTCGGTGAGATAAGAGTGAAAGTGCTGAAAAAAACTCCAGCATCTTGAATGTATATGCGGAATATTTTTATTATTTATGCAGTATATTAGCTCTGTGGGAAAACATTAAGATCTATCCTTCCATACCACAGTGACTATGACCATCGGCTCTTTTGTTCATTTTTATTAATGCCATCTTGTGTTTGTTCCACAAGTAAGGTCCTTTTTAAAAAAAAATTTTAACTTGATTTGCTTGATTTGCATCAAAGTGAAAAACGGAATAGTGTACAAATGATTTCCACCATGTGGACACTGGCAGCTAATTTATTAGCTTAGAATTTTAATTAATGATGATTTGAGTCACATTTTAAACATTTAAATCTCAGCTTAACCTTTCATCTTTGGCTGAAAGAGTGCCTGATCGCTAAGAAATATCCCAGATATTTCCAGTTTACATTTTAGTATATGATGTATCGAATACAGACATACCCAGGTACCAGTTAGGATTGTCACAATGTACGATTTTTACCTCAAATGATTTTCATGGTCAAAATAATTCACTGATATTATTACAAAATCCATAAAAAAAATCAACAAAAAGAAAGTCTGTAGGAATAGCTGTACAGACATGAAAGTAATAACAACTACAAAATTATCATAATTTCAGTTTTAAATATCACTGTTATTATGAATAACATCTATCCTGACACCTCTAGTACCAACAATATGTGATATTGTTTTATATGTTTGTATTATCAATTTATAGGTGGATCATTTTTACATAAGAACGCTAATGAACTGAGTGCACAGTATGAATCCATTCAAGCACAAGAAAAATGTAAGCAGATCTGAAAACACAGTTTTGATTTGCACATTTTCAGTCATCGTCATTTCACTATTTAATATGCAGTACTGAGAAAGTTAAAGGTTATGCCGTGTTGGTCTAATAAAAACTGGAAAAGCTTGTCCAAGAAATGAATATTCCTTTTGTTTCTATGCTATTTTTCCAAAGTCAAAACCTTCTGTTTTTACTGGTTTTGTTGTCACAGAGCACAAATGGCTGCTGTTGACTGTGAAAACTCATCTAATTACTTCTGCACTAACCGCTGGAAATATAGTAATAATATTTATTGTTGAATAAATCGAGAAAATGTCATTCATTTATTGTTGGATTTTTTTCTTTTTACTGAGCACAGTGAGAACACCATTGTAGCTACACAAATGAAATGGACATTAATGAGCTTGTTCTTGTACCTACAACAGAACAATGGTCAATAGCCTCACAGTTTTTTTCACAAAAGGTGCCTTTTGTTTGTTTTGGCTTGAGTTCAAGAGGAAAATCCCTCCTATGGATTACTTGCCATTTAGATGGACTACAGGTATTTTGAGAATCAAAGCTTGTATATAAAGCACTTCCCACTCATTGAACTGTATAGCCTTTGTACGCAGTTTTACAAGGTAGTAAACTTAAACAATGAAGCTTCCTTTTTTCCATTAAAGTGGTTTCTAAATTTGTAACAGATTGTTCAAAAAGATGTTTGCCTGATTTTCCATAAAGCAAACTGACCAACTGTGTGAAAACACCTGCTTCTTAACCTTTGTCAGTTTTATATGCATGTAAGTCAAAGAAAAGCCTAAGGAGACAAACTGTTGAAGCGCTCTCACCAGAGACAGTATATAATATTAAACTACTAACTTGCAATACACTGAATACAATCATCAAAAACATTAATGTGTACTATGAAAATTAGTAGGCCTATTGTTTTCAGATAACGTTTCCTTACTTATCCCCTAAGTTGGGAAACGGGTTTATTACAACAGTTCACTAAGTTCATCATAACGAGTAACAAAATAGCTAAAAAAGCAAAATAATAAAAATATTTCAATAAAATGACAGCGTTGTTTATATATGCATGTATGTATGTATGTGTGTGTGTGTATATATATATATATATATATATATATATATACATACATACATATATAAACATCTCTCCTAGTGTGTATGCGCGCGCACTTCTATTCAGCGGAAAGCCTGCATTTGCGAAAGACGGATAAGTGGAAGAGGAAACATAAAGAAATTTGTATATATGATTGTGTATATATGAAATTTCAATTACTAAATAAAACATAGGTAAATATTTAGATTAGGTTGTGTGTGTGTGTGTGTGTGTTTTTTTTTTTTCCCCTCTTCTCTCAATGCGTTCTCGGTGATAGTGGGTGTCTCCCAGCCTTTACATTCCTGGCCGCACTGCGCATGCTCTCTACATCCTCTCCATCCACACGTCGAAGGACTTGAAACCTCGAATAAAGATGCTCAACGTCTCGGGTCCCTGGAGCCTTGTCACCGGGTGAAATTTGACTTATCTGAAAGGTCGCACAGACTCAGAGACGAGACGCAGAAGGACGACATCGTTTCTCGGTTTCGGCGCGCGTGCACTCCACCGACATGGAACTGAAGAAATCTATATCGGACACCGAGCGCGCGCTCAGGAGCTACGGAGCTGTGTCGGAAACGGCGTGGACAACGGACAAAGGTGAGCGTCGTAAACGAAAAACAATAAAATAAAAGGGAATAAAGACAAAAACGGGAAGTGTGTGGCGGGAAACGTGCAGCTGTGGTCTCAGCTTTTCTTCAGTGTGTGTTTCGCTGTCAGGATGCCCAGTCAGCACTTAGAGTTTAAATGGTTAAAGCGTGACTCACAAAAGGTTTGGGATGGGATCAATAGCGCTGCCTTGGTACTAAAAAGCGTATTACGTCCCTTATGTGCAAACCGTGGGTAGCATATTGCGCCCTTTGTTAATGAATTTTAACCACTAAAGGTCTCGGACGCAGCGCATTTGCAAACTTGTGGATATTTAATTGTGAGCTGATAAGATGCAGCAGGAGCACTAGCTCTGAGTGAACACCCTGCTCCTCTGCTCTAATCAGTGTACGTATATCTATATGAAAGGGCTCAAGAGGCAGCTTTAAAAAATGTTATTAACTCTATTCCCCACTTTCAGTGATTATTCATGGGATTCATTTTGCGTAGCTGTGTTGGCGAGACTCACAAGTACCAATAATAAATATAACAACAACAAATTAAGGCTAATTTGTTGTTGTGATAATAGAGCATAAGCTGCAAAAACGCCAAACAAGACATTAAATTCAACATCACACGATCCTGTCTTATTTGTTCTATTCAAGGCTGCATATAAAATGCACACTCTCTCATTTATTAAGTAGTGTCTGAAGTAGCTCAGAGCTCTGTCTCCTCTTCAGAGAGCTTTTTTTTCTTCAGCAACTGATGAAAATCTATTCAAATTAAAGTGATATGAAAAAAAGAGGAAAATCCTCCCCATGGAAAGCCAGAATCAATAAAATATTTGCTTGGCATTCATGGTTGTTAGATGATTGATTAATCTATTTTTATGTCACATGCCTAATGGATTTCATCTTTAGTCAATACCACGCATGTTAGATGATAAAATGAAATGGTTGTTTAGTTTTAATGCTGATTTGGATTTGTGCCTGTGGCAATATTAATGCACAGTCATGATCAAATGAAATCATTCAAACGCAAAGCTTCGGGATGGGCATAAAGCAGCAAAAACAGAGTTTGTTTACATCGTCTTAGATGTTTCTGTTATTTTCTCCTGTTCTCGTGTGATAAAAAGTGTTTTAGTGACGTAGCTGAATGACGAAGCTAGAGAAATATAAGAGACTTCAGAAGTGTCCCTCCTGATTCCAGTCATCATCATCACAGGGGAGTAGTGTGTGAAGAAACTTCCAGATTAAGTCTGAGAAGAAAATGCAGAGGATATTTTTAGAAACAGATCCAGCCATTGCTCTCTCGCGCTCTCGTTTTCTTTCTGCTACAAAGACAAACATACAGGCAGAAAACAACACAGAGGTACAACAAAGGCAGCTCCCTGCAGGTTTGTGTCCATCTATTAGGCAAATAGCACACGTGTTTGCCTTGCACTTTCTATTTTGTCCCCACCATCTGTTTTTTTTTCTTCTTTTTTCCCCACTGGAGGGGGTGTGGTCCGGCAGCAGTGTGTACAGTGTGACTGCAGCATGTGTCAGGGGGTGTCTGCATTCGATGTCATACAGGCACTGACATTTCCCTGTTGTTAAACCCCATGTGGCTGCTGCAGTACACACGATCCTGACTCTCAGGGTTGTTTTAGCCTCATTAAGTCGTAATCCTGAAGTACACCAATGAGCCAGTTAGTTTTAGTGAAACTGGGGTAGTTCAGGTGTGGTTTACATTGGCTGGATTTTGTTGTCAACCATACCTGTCTCTGAGGAAAGCGCCACTTTTAATTATATTAGCATTTAATTACTTATAGTGTTTTTAGTGCTCAGTAGGTGTTAGCGGCATGTCGGGTTCAGAGAGAGCTGTTAAGACATTATTGAGCTGGCACTTTGCCACTTTTAATGGTCTGGTCAGGACCTAATGCAGCTTGGTGTTATTGATGATGAACACGTGGCTGTAAGCGAGGCAGAGGAACGTGCGAGGAAAAAGCAAGAAACAGTAAAATAAAAAAAGAGGAGATAGAGGAAACGCGTGTAAAACTTTAGTTCGTATCTCGCTGATACAAACTTTCGCAACTGCGTCTTTTGTCAGCAGACGTGTCAGATGGTGATTCAACATCAGCAAGGCACAAACAAAGTGCGCCCTCCTGTGCAGACTTCTGTCTGCTGTGGTGAGTCAGCTCCATCCTCAGCAAGCATCCATGAAAAGTATCACAAACGCACACTGCAGTTAGTGTTGCTGCAGGAGGACGGAGGACTGATCCCAACCCTCTAATATTACCGTACATACTTTGAATAAATCATGTGTCAGAGTGTGTTATAGATGCAAATAACTGTTTAATCAGGTGTAGTGTGACGTGGCATCTGTAGACCGGACATTATGTCCTGTTGTCCTGGCATCACTTCACAGCCTGAGTGGGAAGAAGGAATGACAGACACTTAGAATCCTTGTAATTTCTATATGGAGAAGTGAGTATTCATATGAGAAGATCAAGTAAGGTACACTATATAACTGTCTTTTGAGACACTTTTACGCAATAGTATTTTTATCATAACAATACTTTTATGTAATTTCCAGCTTAGTATGTTTATTCATTCATTCTACTAGAGTAGCTTTGCATAATTAGCAGTAAAAAGATACCTTTGTTTACTTTACACCGAGCTCCCCTTCAGCCAGGTACAACACTTCCCATAATGCAACTTTGTAAAGTTCTTCATTGGTCCCTTTGTCAAAGCCTTGGTGAACCAGGCTTTCTCTTCTGAGGAGGGAATCAGCACACCACAGTGCTAAACACTTTCACACACAGAGAACATAGATAGGTTTTCCATATTGGCTCGATTTATGCTGTTGTCCGTATGCTGAGCCGCTTCATCAGGTGTTGCGGCATTTTTGTGGTCGGTGCATTGACGAGTGCATTAAGTGGTTTGTCTGTATAGTAGCTGCAATGTTTCTGCATGTTACTGGCAGAGATGGAGTGTGAGGTCAGTTCCAGCTTGGGAAGAAATCAACGAGAAGCCACATCTGGTCATCGGTCCGTGCTGAAAGTGCTTTTTCTGTCTCTTTGGAAAATACTTGTGATATATTCCTGGTTAATTCCTTTCTTATGGGCGATTGGAAGCTTTCAGAAAAAAAATCTGTAATTTATGGCTGAAGCACTGCTTTGATTTTAAACTTCAGATCACTTAACTCAATTATCCACACCTCTTTCTCACCAAATATCATGCTCTTGGGTGCAGTGATATGACATGTCACACAGAGAGGAGGTGAGAAGTGAGTTTGCCAAGAAGCTGACGGTATGAGAAAGTTTTCAACGATGAAACGAAAGGAGTGAACTTTCCAATGCACATGTGACATCAAATCAAAGGAATGAGGACTTTACATTTTAGAGCTTTAATTAGATGCGGCCAATGGAAGTAAGCCATGTGTAGTACTTGTTCTCTGTAATTTAAACCAAGCAGGCATGGTTGAACTGTGAAGGAGTGTCCAGAGTGAATAAAACTATGGTTCAAGAATGTCTTGTAGGTCTGTCTTCTTTTATTGCATTGTTTTTCCTCTGTTTGTCTTCCTCTCAGGTCACTCAGATGTGTCAATGGCAGAGAGCACGATGTCTCCAGAGGAGATCGAGGTGGAGATGGCTCGTATCCAACGCCTGCGGGAAGTCCTGGTGCGCAGAGAGTCAGAGCTGCGCTTCATGTGAGTGTCTGTGTTTTTTCTGAGACCAGAGGTTCGCCTTTTTTTGGGTTTTTTTTTTTTAACCAAGACACAGTTGATACTCTTAATACAACACAAAGGCATACGTGTTACTTCCTTCACACATACATTAAGCTTGGTGCTCAATATTTAGGGAAGCTGTCAATTTGTCCATTGATTATTCCGAGGGCTGGACATGCATGTAGCAGCTGAATGAGTCATCACTGATGGACTCACTGGCCGCTAAGCTTAAAGGATTATAGATCACTGCTGAAAAAGAAGTTTTAACAGCATTATATACCCGCTCAGTGTATCGTTTTAAAACTAAAAATGGAAATACAAGGCTTTGTTTATTTTTGTGCAAAACTATTTCCAAATTTCTCACCAATGAACCATGTATTTTGGGGGATAACTGCATGTTTAGTATCTGCCCAGTGATGGTCGAAGTATCAGATGAAGCTGATAAAGATTTAAAAAATCCCACAGTGTTGCACTGTAATAAAAAGCCTACTTGCAGGGCTTAATTAGGCCACCATGCTGCTTATTGTTATCTCTCTGCTGTCCGTCCTCACGTGCAGGCACAGACACACCAAGTAGCAGATGGCGTGCCAAAGGTTGCTGGAATCTACTAATACCGATGAGAGAGTAAAACACAAGGCAGAGGAGGGAGATATACGGAGCGAGGGATCTAGGAGGGGAGAAAGGAGAAGGAGGGAGGTGTAAAACACAGCAACTGGGATACATGCAGGGAGGAGGAGGAAGGAGGCAGGAGGCTGTGGATGAGTCATCGTCCTGATCTATCACAAGGAGAATTAAATCTGCTCCACACACACACACACACACACACACACACACACACACACACACACACACACACACACACACACACACACACACACAGACACACAGACAGGGATTTAGGTAATAAAAAGGGAAAATGCCGAGGCCCCAAGGGTGAGACATGAGGGCTACAGGAAGCACAGAGAGCATGCAGGATTGATTTTTTTTGTCGTTGTGTGTTTTCCGTCTCGACACACTTAACACACTCACTCCTGATGTGTGAGCTCGAGGCTATGAAATCTTAATGACAAGAACAAGAGCGGAGTTTATTCAACAACATCCAGCTAATGGTGATTATTTAGAGATTAACACTGAAACTGTTTGCTAATGAATTAATAAGTTCAGTGACATTAATGAATTGAATGTGGGTAATTTATTCTGAATAATAAAAACCATTCAGAGTGCTTTGGTGGGCTCGCTTTTTAAAATGTTTGTTAACTGAATGTGTTTTGAATGGCTTTTTATATCAAGAGAAGTGATGTGAAGACTCTGTGTTGTACTGTGTGTTGTGCTCGAGGAAATTGTGGCAATCGTTTTTGTGTAGCAAAACTGATAAAATGGCAGGTTCGGAAATTGGCAGCTTTAGAGATAAAGTCAGAAAATTAGTTGCAGAAAGCTAAATTCTTCACCTCATAAAGACTTAATATAAAAAAAGCTCCGCTTGTTAGATTAGAAAATCCTTCAAACTAATTATCCAGCTCCTCTACATCAGATTATTGTTTATTTTCTTCAAGATTCCTTATTATACAGTGTAGGTCTGCCTGACGTCATGTCAATCAGATAAATATGTCAGAAATGGAAGTGGAAGCAGCTAATCATATCAGTTTGTCTGTAATCTGATGGAAGCCAGTGCTTTACTTTTATTTCTCCCTTTTATCTTTTCAGGATGGATGACATTCAGCTCTGCAAAGACATCATGAGTTTAAAGCAGGAGCTAAGGCAGATTGTCGCAGTACCAGGTACAATTAACAGTCACTCATGGAAATTCTGCATCAAAATCAGGCGATAAAGAACTCACAGTTGTTCCTCTGCATGCAGAACTGTCCACACTCTCTGTTTAGACTTGACCAAAAATAGATCTTTTGATAGAAAGTGCAGCTCACAGGAGGCCTATCGCCTCTGCGAGTATCACACTGATTTATAGGACGTGTCGTAACAATAAACGACGCAGGATTGATTGTAAGTCCCAGGGACACAGTGAAGTTATGAGGGAGAGATAAGCATACACACACTCACAAACACATAAACATCCATGCATCATCACTTTGAAGGAAACACAAGCTGAGGGAGGTTTTCCAGGCAAAGAGTCTAAAATGAATTTCAGTAAACACTCATTTACTGCCTGCATGTTTTCATTGTGCAAAAACGGAATCAAATATTAGCCTACAGTCACTTCCAGCGTTGCCTGTATCAGAAATGCAGCGAGAATGTGCTGAAGTGGCTGACTGACGTCAGCTGCATCGCACATAGCAACCCAAATGCGTACATGAGGCTATGCATAGAGAGAACCTGGCAACAGCAGCAAAACACACCTCCTCCGAGCGCATGTACATCATGTGTCAGTGTGTGTGTGCAGGAGGGGCTGGTGTCGTGTTCAAGGATGCACACATGAGGATCAGGACTGACCTGTCAAATACTGCCTGGATTTTATTTTACCACTTTGACAACCCAGCAGCATATACGAAATAACAGAAACACCCTGACAATACAGTAACACATCCAGCATGAGTAGTTCTAATTTAGCCTGTGTGAAGGCTAAATTTTCCCCGCAGCTTGAATGAAGTAAATCCCTGAAGGGAATCTGGTTCTCGACTAGTTTGATGTGTTTTTTTTTAAAGAATTTTCTCATTTAAATTCCTTGTGTATTTGTGGAAAATTTATAAGGAATCTTCAATTTTGAGATCCAGATAGACTTAAAAAATAATCCCTTTTAATGGGCTCGGACTCACCTCTGACAGAATTACTTCTTTGGGAATGCGGCTAAAAAACAAGAAACCAAATCAGTCAAATAGCCCCCTTTGGAAGAATTGAAAAAGTACAGCACAAACGTAAATCAGATTAAGAGTAGTATATAACTAGTTTTGCCAACATTGATCAACATAGAAGGCTGCGCGAGAAAAACAGAAGTGTCTTGAGTTGAGGTGTGTTTTATTTTTTTCTAGCTTTAATTCATAGGAGAGAAGATATGTTACTTTCTTATCACATAAATTATTAATAGGATTGCATTATAACATAGTGTTCCTTTTATTTTGTCCACTTGCCACCTAGTCTGCACTGCCCTGTAGAATCTCACTGACATTCCCTTGTGCCAAAAGTGTTGTGTATGCTGTTAAGGGGGTTCTGGTATCCCATTACTCCACTCCAGGACAAAAGGAGTCATGTGACAGACCCAGCTACCTCTCCTGCACCTGCTCCTCTGACTTTGGATTATGTGTCTAACCCGTGCATCCTTCAGGCTGTCCTGCCCCCTGGGAGCTTCGCTCTGTAGCTGCACTGCTCCATGTTAGAAACAGCTGGTTTTAACAGTCATTTTTCATCCGCTTTTTCTCAAATAGCCTAGATATCAGCATTGCCAGACAGCCTACCTCTGCAGCCATGTGTCGATGTGTCCTTTTCTGTTTTTACATACATCTGATTTGGTCTGTTAGTGTATATTCTGTGCTTTGGAGTGTGAAGGTTAGCTCTTTGAGGCAGGACAATTCTGATGCTTGCAGATGCTTAATCCTTCAGCCAGCAAAACCAAAAAGAAGGCTCACAAACATTTGCATAATTGAGTGAGTGCCTTATTTGTTATAAATTATGCGTGAGTCAGAATTAAGGATCTGTTTTGTGACGTGACTCAGTGTTAAAGAGAATCTGACATTCCTGTAGGGTCGGTCTGTAGACATCAGACGGGTTGCTGCTGTCCGTCTTATTTTCTTCCTTGTTTTCCCCCCAGAGAAAGAAAAAACCAAGAAGCACAGGCAGCGAGAAGAGGAACTGATCCTGAAGATCCATAAACTGGTGCAGAAGAGGGATTTTCTGGTCGACGATGCCGAGGTGGAGAGATTAAGGTACGGCCCTCCTAAGCTCTGAGCACAGCTCATATCTGGGATGACGTCTCTGTGTGCTGACTGTCTGTTTACTCAGATACCGCTGGCTGTTTATTTCTTCATTTGATCCTCATAGAAGAGTTGAGAAACAGCAGGAAGGAGACTCATTAGAGTAAATGTGTAGCGCGAATGTGAACTTGACTGAAGACGGCGAACAGGGGTCACTTCATCATCACAGCAGTGTTTAGCTGTGTGTGTGGGAGGGAGGCTGACTGATGACTGTGGCTCTGCATTGTCTGCTCCCCCAGATAACCCACAGAGTGTGACACAGATAACTTTCAGATAGGCAAGATAATGGGTTTAAATCACAGCGTGAACAAATGTCTGTGGGACTCAAAAGATTAATTTTGAAACTGTGCCTTCAGATTGTTCTGGGTTATTTCGGTGTCATTATAATCATTTTTTGTGACAGTACTGAGTCACAACCAAAGAGTCTTAAAAGTGATTATCTTCTATCAAAATCAATGCCACATGTAGCATTAGATTACGTCCAATCGTGTGTTCTCTTTAATTTCAGGTAACAGAGCTGCAAAGAGAAATCTTTAATTTTACAGTCTACTGGGTCTACTGGGAGTTTTCCCCCACAGACATCTCTAGAGTTTATTGAGAAGATATCCAAAATGCCTTGCTGAAGCCCGAGGTCAATAGCCAGACTGCTTTAGGCTCATAGGAAGGCGAAAGTAATTCAAATAATAACTTGTTACAACAAGTTATTGTTTGTTGTGCTACAAGAATTAAAACAGTTGTTAAGGCAAAAGAGGTTCCATAATGTTACTAGTAAGGTGTCAATAATGGCGTGGCTGGCGAGTGTATGTTTCTATATTTCCTATAAATTTGTTCAGAGGAAGCATATTGAAACAAAAATTCTCATTTAGGTCAGCAGATGTCATTTTGTTGAGTGTTTGAAGTCCTGTACAAAACTAAATGGTAGCCAACAAGGGTGCAGAGCAAGCTCCTTCCTAATATAATTTAGTGAGATACATGCTTAAGTGTCTGAAAGACAGAGCAGATACAGAACCTAATAATAATCTTAATTTGTACTTCAAATCGTGGCTCAAGAGTTGGGAGTTCGCCTTGTAATCGGAAGGTTGCCGGTTCGAGCCCCGGCTTGGACAGTCTCGGTCGTTGTGTCCTTGGGCAAGACACTTCACCCGTTGCCTACTGGTGGTGGTCAGAGGGCCCGGTGGCGCCAGTGTCCGGCAGCCTCGCCTCTGTCAGTGCGCCCCAGGGTGGCTGTGGCTACATTGTAGCTTGCCATCACCAGTGTGTGAATGGGTGGATGACTGGATATGTAAAGCGCTTTGGGGTCCTTAGGGACTAGTAAAGCGCTATATAAATACAGGCCATTTACCAATAAGGATGAAAGCACATTTATAGATCCTGATGACCAAAACGTCAAAATGTAGACCAGAGAAGGACAGAAAAACATTTTTATTATGCCTCTCTGGCTTCTGTATTCCAGCCAAGAATCGGTTTTCTTTTTTCGCCTCTTTTTGTCTTTAAATATATTTAAAACTGACCTCCGCCTCAAAGTGAAATTAACAGAAAAAATGGATTATTTGTTGATTTCTTCATCTTCATATTTTATTGCAGTTTGAAGGTTACAAGAGCTCATGACTGCTTTGAAAACAGAAATATTAGATATATAAAATGTGCTCAGTAGAGCTTACATTTTATTACTAAACTAATTATAGTTAATTCAGGACCACTGTAGTCCAAGGATTATTATTTCACTGAGCAGTAATTCATGTTTAGCAGCGTAGCTCTGTTCTGGAAGAGGCGCTCAAAATATTCTCAGCTTAGCTGTCAGCTGATCGGGTCTGGACTGTATTTGACAGATTTCTTTTGGACTAGTGTGAGTCCAGATACTGGTGGAGTTGATGTAGTTGGGCGACCGTAGCTCAGGGGGTTGGGAAGCGCATCTGTAACCGGAAGGTCGCCGGTTCAATCCCCGGTCAATCTGTCCTGGTCGTTGTGTCCTTTACCCTACTGGTGTTGGCCAGAGGGGTCGATGGCACGATATGGCAGCCTCGCTTCTGTCAGCCTGCCCCAGGGCAGCTGTGGCTACAACAGTAGCTTGCCTCCACCAGTGTGTGAATGTGAGAGTGAATGGGTGCCTTGAAAAGCGCTATATAAATCCAATCCATTATTATTAGTAAAGTCATGGAAACTTTGGCATCTAGGAGGATGAAGTGATGATTGAGGAGGTTAAACGTTGGTAGGTCTGAAAAGGAAGATTGACAGAAGGAGCAGAGAGTGATTGACCTGAAGAGTGTGAGCAGAAAGATAACATGACAAGTACAGTGACGTCAAAAGAGTGAAAGAAGCGATTTTGACAGAGTGGGAAAAAGAGGCAAGAAGGAGAAAGCGACAAATAGAAAGAGACAGAAAGTGTTCATACATACTCGGATAAAGACAGGAAGGAGCTGAACTGACTCCAAAGCTTCAAAACAAGTATGTATGTTCCACTAGTGTATGTAGGCAGTGAGAGTGGATAACCCTGATATGATTCTGACTGACCACGTGGCAGCCAGTTAGATCAAAGTCTGCACAAAGGAAGGGGAAAGGTAACAGAGATGAAGCCTGTTTTTATGAAAGATAAGTCTGTAGTTGCTCAAAGTAATAAAAAAAAAACCCTGGTTGTTTCAGACAGTAGGCTTCACCAAGGCCCACTATAAGATGAGGATTGTCTTGAACTGTAAAGCATGTGTGCTCACTTTAATAGAGATTAAGAAGAAAAATGCAGAGCTTGAAATGAACAGACGAAGGAATTTTAAAAGTTGGTAGTCTCTTAAAACAAAACACCCCCCCAGATGTTTAGCTTTGAAAATACCAAAAACTGTGGCGCAGCCATGCTGTCCTGTCAGTCAGTCAGTCCAGTAGTGCTGCTTCAGTCAGATAAAAGCAGACATTTTCTGAATTTCATTCAGACTAAAATGTGGATGTTTTGTACCTCAGGGAGAAGGAGGAGGACAAAGAGATGGCGGAGTTCCTCAGGCTGAAGCTGATGCCTCTGGAACAGAAGCTCAAAGTCACACAGAGTGAGTGAGAGGTTAAAAATAACTCATGCACACCATCTTAAAGAGACAAGAGCATTGTATGTGATTATGTCTCTTTTTTCCCTCTCCCTTTACGACAAGATCCTCCAAAGCCCAAGAGACAAATCCCTGAGCCGCCTCCCAACAAGCCATCCATCACCAAGTCAGGAGCGGCCATCATTAAGGACTGCTGCGGAGCCACCCAGTGTGCTGTAATGTAACTGACCCAAACCTGCTTATGGCCCCGACCCTGTGTCAGACACCGCACTCACATCACACGACATGACGTACATCACTTCCTGTTACTCGGAGAGTCACAGTCAACCACGAAACTGTTCAGGTATCAGATTCGTAGCTTAGTTTGCAAGAGGTTGGGAGCTGATCCCCGGTCGGTATTTAAGGGAAACTTTTATAGTAAGGAGCTTTTAACCAAGACCATGAAATAAAGGGAAAGGAAGCTGTGAAGAGAACTGTAAATAAAAACTATGTTGAAAGTGTTGATTTATTTATTCAGTCAGTTTTCAGATTGGTTAATTCCATCATGACAGGTTCAATGAGGATGGATCTCATCTGCAGAGCTACAAGCACAATGTCCATAAAGTGAACTGAATGCTGGGGTTCTCTGACAGGAAGAGAAAAGCTGATGTCTGACGACGGGTATTCATTCATTTAGTGCTTAAAATCCAACCAGTGAATCTCTCAGTTGCTACATTTTTATCATTTTCCCCAGGTGGGACAAACACAAGTGGCTCTGAAAAACAATATGGCTCCCTGCCAAGGGACTTATGCAAACTGATTTATATATGCTAATGAGGAGAGGGAGCCAGTGGATGATTTTTTCTACAAGTGCTGAGCAATATTATCAAACAGCAGTTTAATTCTTAAGGCATTTACAAGTTAAACAAAGACTTAATGCTGAACAAACTAAGTTGCCTCTTTTCCACTGACGTGCTGCCAGTGCCCGTGTTGAACTGGTTCTGTATGACAGAGACTGAAGTCAGTGCCAAAAATCTGATACAATACTGTTGCCAAGCCGGAAGTTGAAACCACTAACATCAGGGTGGAGATACAAGAAATATAGAGATTATTCACCTGCAGATTCTGTCCACAGTACCCCCCACCGCACTGAAATTACTCCAACCTTTGCTATATAGCATCCGGTTCATTCTCAAACCTGTGGAAATGTCAGCTGGTTCGCAAAGGCTCTATGCAGCACGGCATCAGTGGAAACCAGATTAAAAATGAGCTTATATTGGGCTCAGTGCTAGTTAGCAATGTGCGTCCTATAGGAGAGGTCCAATTATGTTTCTAGAAGTCTTCAAAAGGACAGTTTTCTCTATCCAATCTGGAGTGAGATCAGAGAATCATCAAAAGAAAACTCTTGTATATCAGAACAACATTTAAATGAAAATATGATGGGAGAAAAGTTTACAATTCATTTTGAGATAAAAAAAAAATCCATTTACATCTTGAGGTGTTCTGGGGAGTCCTCTAAATCAAATGTTATAGATTGTAGTAGAATAAAACTGGAACAAAAATGCATCTAAACTTTTTCCAACACAATTTATAGAGAGTGCCAACTAGCATCCAGCCTAATGACTCACCTTTATAGTTTTCAGGAACCCCTTTCATGATGACTTTAATGCCTGTATATGCCAACACTTGATCTTCCATCATCACATTTACCCTCCTCCCCAAATCAGCACATCAGAGGCCATATTAAGATCTGCATCATCAGCTGCCAGGAAGTGTTCACTGTGGTAGTGAGACATCATTCATCATCATTCTGGATATTGCAGAGAAACAACATGCATCCTTTGAACTTAAGTCTTGCGTTTTTAAAATGATAAACTCCAGGAAATGAATGCAACTCTGCTGTAAATGCCTCCAATAGATGGTGTGTGTTTGAGTGTATTTAGGACTTTAGTGTGACTCATGTCAAGCAAAGTGTTGCTCTCTGTCACTTTACCTTTGTTCTGATAACTTAGCATTCTGTAGTTGTAGTGGATTTATGAAGGTCCTAATGTCAAAGTATTGAACAAATATGCAGAAAATAAGCTGAAACTACCTGTACATATATGTTTAAATAAAGAGCATCTTTCAGGAACTCACCGTGTGTATGTTTGAATAATGAGAAGAGGCAGAAATGATGCTTGTGAAATTTATTAACGCAAATCTTTTTTGGTCCCTTCAACAATGTGACTGTTACAGCAACTTTAGGTGCAGCACAGTGGTAAAACAGTGCAGTACAAGGAAGGGGAGGGGGAAATTAGTTGGGCAGTTTAAAAAGAAAAAAAGGTTAAAGGACACTGCTGAATAAATCAGAGAAGAAGAACAAATGTGCAATATTAAAGTTCAAAGTAAGACAACGTGAGATACACAGGCAACGAAGAAACTTGTTTAAACCACCATGCAAACGCCTCGCATTCATTAAACCAAAACTATGCATAAGTGCATATGTTGACTGGTATAAGAGCCTTTCATTGATGTAACTGAATCAAAGTGAAAACGAAATAAAATCAGAGGTAGTTGTCACTGCAGTACACCGAGGAGCTGCTAGGGTTTGCTCAAATTCACTAAAAAGTAATGTCTTCATTTCTCGTACGCATTTTAAGCTCGTTTCTATCATTACCACTTCTAAATAATGATTTTGAACCAATGAGTCTTTAATCAAAGTGGCTTCCAGACAGTCAACAAAACCCTGCAGGAGAGATAAACAATAACAGCTATAATTAAAATCATTTTGATATGTCAGACATTTTGGTGAGTTGTTAGGGGAAATCTTTCAATTCATGTCTGACAGAAAGACTCATGTTATGCTTCGAACACTGACTAAACAGGCAGAGAACGCAAACACACTGATTAAATGGGCTGCTGCCCATTCTCTAAACTTTTCACTGAACAAAAACAGCTTCAACCCTCTGACTTCAGTGGCACCCTGGTCGTGCTCGACGTCACAGGCAGTCAACATTGTTTGGTGGCAATTCAGTAGCCAGCAGCCTGGTAAATGCTCAAGACAAACGAAATTTGAGAAAACTAACCCACAACAGTAAGTTAAAACTGCTATTAAAGTGGGTGGGGAGGTAAAGATGGTGAGTCCTTTCAGCACCGGGGCAGATACAAACCATTGTAAAAGCCCGGCAGATTCCAGAGAGCCTCAGTGGGGCCTCTGTGTGCACATCAATCTGTTCAGGAGGCTTCCCAGAGCCCCCTATGCTGTTCCTCAAACCCATCACCGATCACCTTCTTTCCCTAAAAACTCAACTATTCAGTCTCATTAAAAATCATAAGCTCAGGAGTGCTCACCGCTCCCCTCAAGATCTCAGACCGAGTGGATCACCAGTGATACAGCGGCGACCAGCTCCAAGGTTAAAGCAACAAACCTTGAGCACTTACAGTATACAGCAGCTGCATGGGGTGATGCCAACTCTGGGATCTAAACATCACGGTGGAAATAAAGACTGGTCTTAAAAAACGTCTTTACAATCCTTCTGTTTGCCTCTGCTTCTCCTGGAATTACACCATGCATAAACTCAGTTATGCACAACATGCACATTTCACACCACCTACTCCAGTGTAAACCACACACACACACACAGACAAAATACTAAAACAAAACACACACACCCCGGCTGCTGACTAAAGACAAAGCTTAAGTCAGTTTCTGCTGACTAAGCATGCTCATGGCTGAAATACTGAAGTGCCTTTTTTTTCTTCTTTTTAATAACTTTTGAGGCCTTCGTTAGAGGCCCTGAAGACACAAGCCAAAGTCTTTGCTATAAATTAAGTGAACATACAACAATAAAAGTTCCGGAGAGCAGCAACTGTTGCAAAACCAAAACTGTTCAAAGACCGACAGCTTCCACAACACAGTCTTAACAGTTAAGACCTGGCTTCTCTTTAGTCCCAGCATTTAATTGCCACTCAATCCGCTACACATTTAAGCCAAACTCTTCTACCGGTGACCAAATACTCTACACAGTACAAAAAGGAACTGAACACTATGCTGAGGCTACTTCCTTACACAGACAAAATACAGAAGAATATCTGATTAAAAAGCAATTTCTTTAGAAACCTGAAAGAAACAGGTGGATGCTTCAGCTGCTAGTTTGGGTCAACATATCTGGGGTTAGCTACAAAGAAAGTTCTAAATGAAATTTTATATCTTGGAGATAAAGCAAGGAAGTATTTATGAAGGTTTCTCAATGTGGTTCATTAACAAAAATCTATTTAAAAACCTTCGTGTATTTTTGTAAACAGTGAATACCTACACTTCTTTGATGTAATACAGAAAACCTAGTTACTCATCCCTAGCATTTCTCCCATTGTTTTCTACCACTTTGTTCACAGTGACAACAAACTCAGCTCATTCACTGAAAGTGTTCAACACAATATGGCTCTAAACTGAAAATGCACATTCATGGATATTAATTGCCCTTGGGAGGAAACTAAACACACGTTCGAGCAGATGACATTTGGCAAATCAGAATTGCAGAAAGTCTGCAAGAAGCAAATCAGTTTGGTGAACTTAGAAGACTGAACTGAAAAAACAAACCAAAAACTAACTAAAATGGCACAAATGTGATGACGAAGAATGCAGAATGCAACAGCCTGTTAGGACATAAAGGGTCAAGACCAATGCTCTTCTGTGTTATGTGTTTAGTGTAGCCGTTCAACTCTTTTATTTAGAGTTACACTGTATGTAAACTTGTATTGCTGTATGTGAGACTGTATGTGTATATATGAGAGGATCAGAGGCCTGCCGTGAATGAGAAGTTGGCTGCTAATTTGATTCTACTACGTGAAGCTCTTCTGCTGGGACTGTCCATGGACAGGAGGGTCTTTGTGTCAGGTGGTGGTGGTGGTTCTCTGGGGTCTGCAGAGTCATCTGTGCTGCCATCACGCTTTGCAGGTAGATCAGCTGTGACGTCTGCCAGTGCCACCACATGTTCAAACAATACAAACAAACAAGCTCACACTTAACTACAGATGGAAAAGGTGCAAATAAGACTGATCCTTTTAATTTTATACCACAAAAACAGTATAAATCAGATGGACCACCTGTTGGTAGTGGAGGAGTTCTCTCCTCAAAGTAAATCAGATCCGCCTGCTGGACGACAACGGGGTCGGGGTGAAGCTGAGGCGACGGTAGGCAGGATGGAACAGGGCCACACAGCAGGTCCACTGGAGACGACAGACACAGCAGCTCTGACTCTGCAGCTGCATCAGCACCTGGAAGGTAAAACAAAATAAAATCAATTAAAAAGGCTGGCCAACACTTGAGGTCTCGACAATAGCCAATTAAGAGGAGGAGAGAATGATGCAACATAAAAAACTGAAAACTGAAAAAAAGGCATTGAGCTTTTTTCACCATGATTTTTTTTGTAAAGCTAAGAAAAAGCTTATTTCAGAACTCCTGATTTTCTTCAGTATATCTTTAAAGACTACAAAAACCTTGAGCAGTCATGTATGACTTCCATTACCTGGACTCTGAGCTCCAGATGTTGCACTGCTAATCGGGCTGTCTCTCGGGCTCTCAGTGTTCTCCGGCTGGGGGCTGTTGGAGACTGAACAGCTTGGTTTTGCTACAACACACAGACAAAGCACTTTAATTACAATTTTCTTACAATGCACAGCCGCCATCTCATGAAATCACAACCCAAAAATCACCTTTTAGTTTGATCACTTCAGTCAGCACAGTGGAGCATGTCAGTAACCTAAAGTTCAATCTGAACTTTCAATAAGAAAGACTCCCAACACCTTTACCTTTCATATCGTTCTTCAAAACGATAATCCTCTTGTGACCATGCCCTTTGATCCAGATCACCTGATGAGAACAAATCAGAAACTGAATGGTGAGAACTGATAGAAATAAACAATTATCACAAAAGTTCAGGACATTAACAAAAGCGATCAATAGAGAAAAGGTTTAAGAGTTTATTTAGATCAGTGTTGCCCACACAAAGATTACTTGGGCTGGTTGCCCATGTCTATTATTAGCCACCAAAGTATATAAGGTTAAAAATATTTTCTACTATGAACACAACCATGTGCCATCCCTTTACTAGTGAACTGCTCTTCCTGTCTTGCATTTTTCCCCACCACTATCTAGCGTTCTTGTCCGGTTGCCATACGGTGATATTTAATATTTATAACCTTCCCTAAAATGGATTTTTGACTCAAGCTCCACCATCTTAGACGGTGCTGGTGGCATTAGTCCGTCTCCTACAAACTGGAGGTCCAATCTCACCAGAACCTGCAGCAGGTGGAGAACTACTTCATATATGCCCTGAACTCACTAAGCTGAGTTCAGAACTCTGACTACTATCATCAGTAGGTGAAGCTGAATTCATCCACATAAGGAGATTCTTGAGAGGGAGCTGAGTTTTTGAAGGAGAGAAACAAGTAAATACAAGCTGTTTGGGAGTCCACACTCATATGCACACATACAGTGGGGCAAAAAAGTATTTAGTCAGCCACCGATTGTGCAAGTTCCCCCACTTAAAATGATGACAGAGGTCAGTAATTTGCACCAGAGGTACACTTCAACTGTGAGAGACAGAATGTGAAAGAAAAATCCATGAATCCACATAGTAGGATTTGTAAAGAATTTATTCGTAAATTAGGGTGGAAAATAAGTATTTGGTCACCTCAAACAAGGAAAATCTCTGGCTCTCACAGACCTGTAACGTCTTCTGTAAGAAGCTTTTCTGTCCCCCACTCGTTACCTGTATGAATGGCACCTGTTTGAACTCATCATCTGTATAAAAGACACCTGTCCACAGCCTCAAACAGTCAGACTCCAAACTCCGCCATGGCCAAGACCAAAGAGCTTTCGAAGGACACCAGGAAAAGTATTGTAGCCCTGCACCAGACTGGGAAGAGTGAATCTACAATAGGCAAGCAGCTTGGTGTGAAAAAATCAACTGTGGGAGCAATCATCAGAAAATGGAAGACATACAAGACCACTGATAATCTCCCTCGATCTGGGGCTCCACGCAAGATCTCATCCCGTGGGGTCAAAATGATCATGAGAACGGTGAGCAAAGATCCCAGAACCACACGGGGGGACCTGGTGAATGACCTGCAGAGAGCTGGGACCAAAGT